GCAGTCAGGACCCTGGGATCAGGCAAGCACTCACCGATTCCCAGCCACATCCAGCACATGTAGCTCGGCCGTGTGGGCCAGCTCAGGGGGCAGTGCAGCCAGGCGATTGTCCCGCAAGGAAAGAACACTGAGTGCTACACAGCCTCCAATCTCAGGGGGCAGCACCTCAAGGTGATTCCGGTCCACATTGAGGTTGGTAAGCTTAGTCAGCTTTCCTAGAGATCGGGGCAGGGCCTGGCAGGGAAAAAAAGGTCAGAGAGCCCTTTAAGGTTTGGAAAGAAAAGAGGAACACTCTTTGAGCAGGTAAAGTGTGGTAAAAACCATGGCCAGCTCCTTAATGCTAGGAACCATTATCAGTGACCTGAACAAGACACCAATCAGTACTGTCTCCTATACTCTTCTTTCCTTAAGAGTCACCAAACAGCCTGCTGGGGCACCCAAGACCCTAGACTACACCATATCTAGTCCTTTTCTACAGGTAGCCCTATTCCTGAATCCCTCCAGCTGTGTGCCTCTGGTCTGCCTGACACCCCTTTATCTCCAACAGTCACTCTTCTCCTTCACTGTGATGTGACATCTCACACACGGACACATCCTATAGACATCCCACGCACAGGCAAAATGTTTCTCTCCAGTCTGAAGAGATATATCACCATGGCCACACCTACTCCTGGCCCCACAATTCTGCTCTTCCAGCTCTGCCCAAGGCAGATGTACTTGAAAAGCTGCTCGCTTTCTGCCCCTGCCTTGTCGTATCCAAATGCAGATCTGTTCTTGCCCCTGCCATCTCGCCAATCCTTCACTAGTGCCATACCACAGATGAGGAAGTATAGCCTGAGTGTTTTTATTCACCCTGCGGGTCCCTGAACTTAAGGTCCCTTTCCTTGCCTAATCTCCCACCAGTGAGCACCCCAGCCTGAGCTGAAGGGTATTCCTGCAGAGCAGTCCCAGGCCCAAGCAACCACTAGCACCTGGCAGTATGCAGCACGTGCCACCACCAGCAGAGTCCACGCTCTGCTACATGCTGGCACCTCACCACGCTGTGCACGCTCGGCCATCCCCACCTTGTACCTCCAACTAACTCTGAAAGCAACTCCCTAAAGGCCAAGATACAGAACCTGGCACCCCAGAGCCACCCTACCGTTAGCAAATTCTCGGTAAGAATCAGTTCGGAGAGGTTCTCACAGTCCCCAATGGCCTCAGTCACCTCACACAACCGGTTCTGGTCCACTTTCAGGATAGACAGCTGCTTCAGCTGACCTGGTGCCAAGAAGACACAAACTGAGCTGCCAGGCCCAGCATGTACGGTGTGTCCAAACCACCCACACAATAGACACGCCCACAGGGCCTGCCCCCACACCCCTGCCATTTACATGGCTACTAGACTCTCAGAAGCCAAGCTGATGCAGACCTACACTTCCTCCCCACTTCCAAATGTACTGACTGCACCCACTTGATGTTCTCCAGGAAAAGTACCAAGCACCCATGGCTCTGGACACCCATTCCCCTTGCCATCCCCACACCCTCACTCTACTCAAGCTGACCGGCTCTTCGGGGTGTCAGCTAGACTAGTCCAAAGCTAGCCTACTTGGCCCCTGACCTGAGCCTCAGGATAAACTTCCCTCCTCAGAAAGCCTCCTGCCTGGGTAGTTTGGACCCTTATCTAACATGCTACTCAGCAACTAGACACCACAGGGCTACTGACCCAAGGTGTGAAGCCCTCAGGGCCCACTGAATGCACTCACCAATGCCGTCAGGCAGCCGCTGCAACAAGTTCTGGGAAAGCAGCAGGTCTGTGAGCAGAACCAGCCCACCTAGTTCCACAGGCAGCTCCTCTAGCCGGTTTTCCGACACATCCAGGCACACCAGCCTCCGGAGGTTCCCAAGCTCCTGAGGACAGGCAGAAGGTCAGAGAGCAGTGGCCAAAGGTGTGAGCCCGGTCCCATCTTCACTCACCGGGGGCAATGCTGATAGTTGATTCCGGTCTAGCCACAGCTCTCGCAGATTGGGAAGAGCTCCCAGAGTGTCAGGCTGTAGAGAGCAAGAGCAGAAGAAACCAGCATGACTGTGAAGAATCCCTGCTCTAGCCTGAAGGGCTGGCTGCCTGTACCCTACAAGCCCTTCCCCCAAAGGCTCCCATCGCACCAGCACTTCCAGATCATTGCCTCCCAGATCCAGCTGCTCCAGCTTGACCAGGAAAGACAGGGACCTGTAGAAGACACGGTTGGTGTGCGGCCTTAGGGCCTGGCCCCTGTAAAGCTCCGCCCAGCGGGGGCAGAGGCCCAGAACACTCACGCAGGCAGAGACTTGAGCAGGTTCTCTCGGAGCTCCAAGGTCACCAGGTTGGCCAGGCTGAAAGATAGACCAGGGGCTGAGGCTAAGGAAGATAGGGCTGAGCTGAATTGTCCCCCAGACCCTTTTACCAAGCAGGTACTCACTTGCCCACATCCCCAGGCAGTGCCTGCAAAGACACGTCATTGAGGGCCAGGTGGGCCAGGCTGCGCAGCTGTGTGAAGCCATCAGGGAGCCTAAGGGAAGAAGCAGAGAACCTCAGATGCCAAGAGTAAGTGCGCAGGGCTAGGGGTGATTCCCCATGGAGAGCTGCCACCCACCTGGACAGGGGGTTCCCACTGAAATCCGCGATCTCCAGAGCTTTACAAAACTTGATACTCTCAGGTATCTCAGGGATATCTGTGGGGGAGGGTTACCATGGAAAGATGCCCAGAGCCTCTAGGAGCTCCTGGGTGACCCCAGACAACCCCCGGCCTGCCCACCATTCCGGGATACATCCAGCTCCACCAGCTGCATGAAGTTGGCCACTTCGGGTGGCAACCGCTGAATCTCGTTGTCACTGAGGCCCAGCTTGCGAAGGTTCAGCAACCGAAAGAAGGGCTGTGGGCAGGAGGTGAGGTCATGGGGGATAGGTTGTACAATGAGACACTGGTAGCAAAGCAAAGCTCCTGACCATCAAGGTCTGGAGGTCTAGTCACAGTGCTCCAGTTTGCTACAAGGAGAGCAAGGAAATCCTCAGTACATGTACCACCGCCACTACACTCAACTCCCCACTCCTGTTTCTGATTGGATGCAGCTCCCACCGTGTGTCACCTTCAGGACTCCATCTGCTACTTCAACCGCTTCTTCTACCCACAGATGAACCCTGAAGGGGCCCACATGGGTTTTTGCTACTGTACCCTAGCAATGCGCAGTGGGAACTCAGCAAAAACCACCAATAACAACAGTAAGAACAGCAGAACACCACAGGCACGCAGACCTATGTGGGGACTAGAGGTACAGGGAACACACGTGGGTCCTGCAGATGACCACAAGACACAGCTGTCACAGCTAGGCTCAGAACTTAGTCACACGCTCTATAGCACCCCGCCCCCAAACATATGGTCAGTCCCCCGTCTCTCAAAAGGAAATCTAATAGAATGTGTTTCCTTTGGCCTCCTTTCTGGAATGCCCTTAGAAGAAAAACAAACTGACCGGAAAGAACACACGCAATAAGAAGTGGCTCTTCCACAGAGAACAGCAGAGATAGGTGCTCAGCACCTTAGGGAAGGCAGTCCAGCACACAGGACTGAAAGGAACCAGGGCAGCGTTAAGTCCAGACCCCCACCTCCACAGCAGCCAAGCTGTACCCATAATCACAGCAGGTTCACCCTGTCCCATCCACCTCGCGAGCCCCCATGGTCGCCACTCTTCAGTTGCTTTTCTAGACTGTCTGCCCAATCCGCAGAAAAGTACGCGATGACCGCTGCTACCTGGTGCCTGCGTAAGGTAGGGCTGGCTGGGGCGGGTCTCTGGCCAGAGCGAACCAGCAGGGCCAGGTGGAGGCTCGATGGCCCGCCCGGGCAGACCTTGCCGAAAGGTCGGAAGCCGGAGCCAAGGCAGCAGGTGTGGCGCCGCTCACCTTGGGCAGCTCGCGCAGCTGGTTGGCATCGAGCAGCAGCTCCTCCAAGCTGCGGCTATAGCGGTAGATCTCTTCGGGCACGGCCTGCAGCGAGCAGTGCCGCTTGTCCACCGACTCCACGTGCCGGTTGCAGCGCCACAGAGGGATGCACTTGAGCATGGTGCGGGCGGGTGGCGCGCGGGCTCGGGAGGCGCGCGGCGGGCTCGGGCCGGGGGGCGGGGCAGGGCCCGCATGAGCGCCGGGCGGGGCGGGGCGGACGCGTGGGGCGGGCCGCCGGGTCGAGACGGGCCGCCGCCGGGGTAAGGATGGGCCCAGCCCGCGCTCCCAACGCTCGGAACGCTCGGACTGTGCTCCTGGCGGTGGTGCGGACCGCAGTATTCAAGCGGCAGGGGCGCGGCGACGGCGGCTCCGCATCTCTCCCACCCGTTCGACTCGCCGTTCTTCTGCCCGCAGCGCCGCAGCCGGAACCGCCGCAGCTGCCCGATACTGCCCGCGACAACCACCCGGCCGCGTAGCCCGCCGGGAAGCCGAGGCTCGCCTTCGCCCCCCCAAAACTTCAGCACCCAGAAGCCCCAGCGGCAGATCACCTCCGAGAATCCGTAGTAGCTGTGCGCAGAGCTTGCTGGGACACTCAACTCCGCCCAGGCGCGGAGCATTGTGGGAAAAATAGGGATCCCAGGCTCAGCTCGCAGGTGACTGTCCACAACTCCGTAGCGGCGGTCAGCCTCTGAAAGCGGCATGCGTCTGGGCCGAGGACTGACTCTGCTTTCTAGCACCCTGTCCCCCGCCTACTGCCATACCCGAAGGCTCTTCTCATTGGCCCCGGGGAAGACCCCCAAACCAGGGACCGCTGCCTTGTCTCAGCAGCTGCAAATGAATAGGCCCCCCCCACTACAACCCCTACCCCGACAACCATCGTTCAGGACCAACGTAGCACACAGGGATGTTCAGGGCCAGCAGCATCTGCACCTTTATACACACTACAGGCTGGGCTGGGCAGAGTGCCTGGTCCCAGGGACACCACTGTATCACTATAAAACCCGAAGGAAACGAGGAGCAAGTACAAGTCCAGGAAACAGGGCCAAAGTCACGCAGAGAGGTCGCTGTTATCAAAACGCTCTTGGTCATACACTTCAGCCACCACTTTGCGGCCTGCAAACCAGCGCCCATTCAGGGCCTGGATGGC